ATGAAATATGTTATAAATAACAACTTGAAAACCCTTAATTAACAATTTAATAATACAAAACAAAGGTAGGAAAAAAATAGAAAAATGCCACTACTTGGGCTTAATTGACAGAAAAGGCTGATGTGAGATCACAGAGCACTGCATGACCTGGGTAGGGAATGTGTATATTAGAGATTATTATACCTTTGCATTAACTAAAAGAATTAGTACAAGTGTTCACAGTGTATTTCAAGTGTCATAATAGTAATTTCCAGTGATCTTGATTTCTTCTAATTAACATATATACAAAAATGAATTTAAAACTGCAAGCATAAACATTACTTGCTCACTGATCCATTATCACACTGCTAACAGATCAAGCTTAATCAAGTTCTATCAGGTTTTTTTGTGATTATACACATTATTAGACAAATCTCATTTCATTTAGTCTCTAAACAGTTACATTGTATTACAGTCAGAGCTAAGTAAGTTTGCAAGAGACTTGCTGTCATGTAGCCAGAACAATTTATAAAAAAAATATTAAACACCTGGACTAAATACATCAAATAAATAACCTTCCTGGCTAGAACTATCAAGTTACTGATAGCAGTAGCATCATTAAAAAAATGCAGTTAAACAATTTCCTCTGAAGGAACTCGGCCACTTAAAAATAGTTGCTGGATTCTCAGCTTCACAGTCAGTGTTTCTCAGTGGCTTCAGCAGGGTGACCTTGGCTGCCAACAGCTGAATTCTCTGCTGCTGTAACAAAAGATGTCGAAATGCTGAGGCTGTTTCCTGGACACCAATCTACACTCGAGGTATGGGATGGAGAAGGAAGCACAATGTTCATGTTGAACTGGAACAGGAAGGACAGGCAAGAAAGAAGGTGGGGGAGTTTTCCCCATGTTTGGAGGGCATGAGTCTATGGGACAGAATCCAGCCTCATTGAACTTGAGTCAGGATCAGGGAAGAGCTCAGCAACTAAAGGTGGGATTTTGCCACAGACCACCCAAAAAGGGCAGAAGAATGGATTAAGTCTCCTATGATCAACTTGAAAAAGTCTCTAGACCACCCTGGCTCTTATGGCTTACTAACCTCCCTAACACCTGCTGACAGCAATCCAGGAGATCTGGAACCTGGGAGGCAGTGTGGGACAATCCCTTGACACAGACAGGCCAGCCAGGACCCACTCTCCTGGTTCCACTCCTCACAAACACAGCAGTGCTGGGGGACCTGTTAATCCTGGCAGCCTTGGCTGGAGCGGCCTCCAAGGTGGAGTTCAAGATCCCAAGGGGAGCAGGAAATGCAGAGAGCATATCTGGGGCCTCAGGACAGGACACTGGCTTATCCAGGGATCAGCTACAGGATCCTCTCTGAGGCTGTTCTGAAAGCAAGAGTTTGAGAGGGCTGGCAAGTCTTCAAAGACAAGCTCCTACAAACACAAGAGTGGTCCTTCTGGATACTCAGGGAACGAAGGGGGAGAGACAAAATGCAGGCTACAAGGACAATGATCTGGCTAAATGAGGAACTCATGCCTGAGAACCAATGAAAAAAGGACATAAAAGGGAGCTGGAACCAAAGACATACTTGAAAGGACGAATACTGAAAAAGCACGTGGGTATGCAGGGCTGCTGTCAGAAAAGTGCTCTGGAGGCTGCAACTAGCAGAGGGCAGCAAAAGCTCCTACTGCTTCTTTAGCAATAAAATAATAAAAAAACCACTGCCCACTGTGAGGCAGTGCAAGGTACTCAGAGCCTCCTTTGCCTCCCTGCACTGAAATGTTCTCCCAGAGCTAAAGGAGCACAGGAAATACCAGGGATGGAATAAACATCTCCTGGACGGTTTCAACTCAGGCCATCCCACAGGACTGACGGGATGAATCCAAGAGCACTGAGAGTGCTGGCTGATGTCACTGTGAGGTACTGCTCTATCATCATCATCAGAGGGCTGTGGAGCTGGGATGTTGCAGTCTGGATGAATGGAGAACAAGATGGGTCAGGAAGTGGCTGTTGGACTGGAACTGGACTGTTGGGCTCAGGTGTGTATTGGAAATGGAACAACATGGGAAGTTTTCATAAAACAAAATAGAAGCTTCCAACTTGATATGAGAACAGTAAGACTTTTAGAAATAAATTTCCAGAGGTTTAGAAAAATGCAGTCAAATAAACACATAATCTGATCATCAGTATATTACAGATTACCATTTTTGTCATACTGAATTATATTTAATGCACACAAATGCCTTCAGAAGGAAGTCCTTCATTGTCATAGTGTATCCAAGTGCAAGCACTGAGTTCATAGAAATGATATTCAGTGACAGAGCTGCACTATAAGGTATTGCTTAAAATTCTTGATGTGATTGTACCACAATATTAGTGTTACCAAGAATAGATATCCTATTCTTGATTATGTAATCAAGAAAAACTTCTGGAAATAATATTCAGAGTACAAACTACTTTTAATCAGCAGCTAAATACCAAGATATGATTACTTCGTTGCTCTAATGACATCTGTAATGGATTCCAAGTGCTGTGCCTGATTGCTTCCCAGCTGATCAGGATTCTGTTCATCACTTCTAGCTGCTGGAATTCTGAGATTTCTTGGAGTTCCTCTGCAAAAGGCTTCAACATTGGATCAGCTAAATGGCTACAGTGCATGATTTAAAACAGTCCATCAAAAACTTTACCCTTAGAACTCCATGACAAAACGTTTTCATAGAAGAGAGGACGATCTGTGCTGCCCACTCACTTTTTACTGGCAGGCATTGATTAAAAAGCTGTATAATCTCCCTGTCCTTTCAGGCAACTAGTCCAAGAGTGCTATGCCACAGGTATCTGCACCATAGAACAAGACATTATTTATTATTTCAAAATATTTCAGAAAATACTGTTATTTCAGAAATAACATTACTTGTTATTTCTGTCATCAGTTTAGACAGAAAGACAAAGGGCTGTAAAATTGTACTTTTATGTACAACTTAATAGTTAAATTGTACTTGTATGTTTATCAACACACAGCAGAGCAAGCCATTTGTATAAACACAGAGGCAATAATGAAGTAATTGTTCCAGCTGAATATTCTACAATTCCTTTTAATAGTGCATTTCCTTAACCACTTTATATAACTACATGATAACACAGGCTTGAAAACTATTAACATAATTTCAATCACCAAGAAATTATTAGAGAAGTTAAAAAATGGTGGCTCAAGTGAAGTAATAATAGAATCATTGAATCATTTAGCCTGGAAAAGACCCTTAAGTTTACTGAGTAATGAACTGCTCTTTCTTGCAATTTCTTGGAAATTGCACGAGGCAGCTTCAAATATTTATACAAGGCAGAGCACATCCATCACACAATGTAGGTGATCTCACCAGTACAATCCACTCAGTTTCTTTCACGTCTGTTAGCAAAATGAATAATGCTAATGTTTTGCAAAGCCCTGACAGGTTTGTATTTAAAACATTACCAAGCCTGAGACATACACTGGCAAGAGGGACAATAATGACTACAGAGAACCATTGCTAGGAAAAAGAAAAACACCCAACCAAATACAAGAAGTACAAGACTTACTGTATGCAGCCATTCAGTAGCCAGGAGAAGTCAGAAGACTGCTGGCTCTCTAGCTCACATTTAAACTCTACCAAGAGAGAAGCCTTACAATAATGTTGTTTGAAGTCAAAAGAGACAAAAGCACTCAGAACTTTGCACTGTTTTATGAGTATTTGAGAAATATTCAAGTAAAAAGAAACTAACTTAACCTCCTGGATTATTTAAATTTTTTGAGTGAAAGATCCTTTTCAACAGGATATGTAACACTCATTATTTGTCATGACTTTTCTTGCTCTTCCAAGGGATACTGAAACCAAAATATTTGGAACACCTACACAAACTAGAAAATCAAAACATTTATTAAAACTCTGCTATAGGAAGATGATTCCAAAATTAATGGAAGCGCTTAAGCCAATAAAACTGCATCCTGGCATACTTTATGATCAAGCTACTGAGGTGTTTCACAGTAGATTCAATCAAGCTTAAATCTGTTGGTTTTTACACTTTCCCACTCTTTCAGCAAAACTGTGTTCTGATCAAAAGAAAGCCTATAAATACTGTCAGTCAATTTGACAGCTAAGTCTTAAAATTAACACTGTGGGACACTGAAGGAATTAGTGAAAGGTCTCCAACGTGCTTGAAGCCCTGCTGTGTGAGCAAGGGCTGGGAAGCAGCTCCTCAGGTGCAGGTGGAGTGTGAAGCAGAGTGGGGCACACGGCACAGGATGTGTGCAGGCTCCCTGGGTGGATTGTGGTGCTGGCAGTGACACAGCTCTGCTGCTTATCAGGGCTAACAAACGTGAGACACTGTGCTTAGATCTGCTTTCCAGACCACTTCCCAGCACATAATACCACTTCTAATTTCACTTCCAAGAAAAGTACTTCTCTTTCTTGTAACTCACCTTTCTGGATGGTTTTTTGTTCTTCCTCTTAGTGAACAAAGAAATACACTGAGCTCAGAGTCCCACAGCCATAGGGCAGAGTTGCTAGAGCTTGAAGTCACTGACCTTTAGCATTTTAAAACCTAAAATATTTGCATTTATTAAGCACTAGAAATCTAGAGAATTCTCTGGGCCTTACTCAGTTTAGGTATTCAAAAGGCCATATCTAGTTTATGCTATTTTCTGGCATTAGTTTTCCCTAGTGGCTAGAGCCCCTCTTTGTCATCTCAAAGCAATTTGTTCAGGAGAAAGACTTTTATTTCAAAGAAAATTTTCTACTGAAAAGAAAGCAATTAATTAATCAAAGTACAGTTTTAAGATGAATGCTACAGGAAGTCAGATGAAGAAATCATAATAATACCTCAAGAATCATCTACAAATCACAGGTTTTTTCCCCCCAAAACAGGAACTTATACTAATGATACTTATGAAAGACTATTTTGAAGTCAAGTAAATTAGCCTTATTGACAATATGAAATATATAAAAAAATGGAGTTACTACCTCCAATCTGCACTTTTAATTGCCTTACCTGGCATTCCATGTACAAGGTCTCCACATAGCACAAAAAACTTGGGTTTAGGGTTTAGTTTGTTAATGGCCTGTACTGCTTGCTCTGCTAATTTAATTTCTTCTCCCCATTCATCATCTCCATTCTCAGTGTCTCCATGTGCCCAAGATTTCATCAGTCCAAACTGAGGATCTGCTCCCAGGATGAAGTAGAAGGGCCCCTTCCATTGGTACTCAGCATCTAAGAAGAAAAAAAGAGGAAAAAAACCCCAGTAGACACACTTCAAAGAGAATGAAAGCTTCCACGCATCATTAAACTGATTGTTCTTCACCTCAGTAGGTTGACACTGCTTTAATGCCAGTACAGAATTCTGTACTCATTCATACAGGACAAATATAAAAGCAGAAGTACAAAATTTTCCTCTAATGTGTAGTTGTAATAACTGAAAGTATATTAATCTAATTATACCACATAGTAATTACAGACTGATTAGAGGAGAAGTATGTGAAGAATTCAGCAAATAGTGCTGGAAATTACAAGACTACAACACAGCACAAGTGTGTAACATTAGATTTCAGTTGACTCTTTTAAGATTCCAATTATTGCTTCTTTAATTAACAAGTTAAAACATACACAAGTTTCACATTTTATGGTTCCAGTAGACTTTTCCTTAAATTATTAAGGAGCTAGATGCTTTTTGCTCTCATAGTTTTAGAGAAAAGTTGGATGTAGCACATTCTTTGGAGTCAAAACTGAAGCCACTCAACAGGACCAAGGTCAGCAAACACTAAACCCAGCAACATATCATCAGCAACAATGAAAATTCAGATCCTGCCACAATTGCTCCCAAGTCCTATCATAAAAAGATAAGAATTCAGAAACAAATTTCCATTGACAGAGTCAGTGTAGGCAGAGGATAGGACAGAATCCATACTGGTACCACTTTTGGTATACTTCTTTCTCCAGTATTGTAATACCAAGTATAACAAACAAAAAGGGTGATATATGTGACTACAAGCCCACTTGGAAGAAAAAATCTCAACACTGGGCAAATTAAACAACAGCTGGCTACAAATGTAAAGCAAAAATGGCTAGCCTGTTTCCTACACTTCTGTCTCAAGCTGGAATTGAAGTACAAACACAAGTACACTGTGGTTTCTCCAGCTGTCTATATGAGTTCATTTGCAACCTGAATATTTTGTTTTTGACAGCTCTATTTGGTTTAATACATTTACCATTATTGGAGGATTTTAAACAGCATTGAAACTGCTAAAAACTCACTGACTACATCCATCTATAGTTGAATCTAAAATGAAAAGATACAAACTTTTAAAAATTATAATCCATTAATATATTCTCATATCATGTCAGTCTGATCTGAAATTCATTTTGAGCCAAACTGGTCATCTAGTAACAGCAGAGAAATATCATGTCCAACACATGGATGGAAATGCTTTTGATTTTCTTCCACAAGCTCTAGAACTGAAGCTTCACACTTTGCAAGAAGGGGAGTGTGTTTGTTTCAAGCAAGGTTAGAAAACAGCTCAGAATTCATCTTGCACCATGGATAGGCTGGAGTGAGGGATGAGGAATGCAGGCAACTCCCGGAAGCTGCTTGTAATTGTCATCTGTTGCTATGGCATCAGATAATTTTGCCAAATGGAAGCTTCTCCACTTTGGTTAAACTAACATTTCATTTCTAAGAAAAATTATTTCTATACCAGCACTGACTTACTCTTAATAATAATCATGTATTTTATAGACAGAAACTTCTAGCTACTCATTGACTTTTAATTCTGAAATAAAATTTACTCTTTAAGTTATGCAACTGTTCAGAGAAGTGAAATGATCCATCTATCCACGAGTTTGCAGTAGAAGCCTTATGGAAACAATTTAATGCCACGAAGTAATTTAGGTTTTAATTTTATGACTTGTATGAAAAAATACAACTGCCATAAAAGCAGCTTATATGATGCAGTAAAGGCACTGTTTGTGCAGAGAAATCAACTTACAGCTTTTATAGGTGGAAAGCTATAGGAAAAAAATCAGTTAAGGAAGCTTGCATCAGAAACCCTTTTCTACCTCTACAAAACAAAGATGAAAAAGGGAATGTCTGAAACAGGAACTTGGTTTGGAGGAGTGGCACAATTTATTCATTAAATGGGGAAAAAAGATCCAACCTTTGAACAATATGGCAGGACTACTAATACCTGTCCCTTTTCCAGCAACCTGATAGACAGTACTGATAAATCAAAGCTGAGCAAAATTTACTTGTTTCGTACCGTTCAATCTGAAGCCAGTATTTTTACCATGGTAGCTTAAGCAAAATAGAGTTAGATTTATTTATTTTTACAGAGACTACTTAGAAAAAAGAGCAAGCATTTGTTTTTAAAGACTGTGTTTCAAATATGGACAGACTGTGTTACCCTTCCAGAGCCCCAGCAATGGTGTGAGGTGGCCACAGGCAGCTGGAGCACCTGGAGCAGTCCTGGCTGGGTGACACAGCAGCAGGGCTGGCTCAGGTCCCATGGAACAGGGAGCTCCAGATAGAACACTGGAACATACACAGGCCAGGCAAGCAGACAATGCACTGTCAAAGGAGTAGGTGGGAAAGACAGACTAGGGGTTATTCTAATATATATTTCAGGGATATTTTATTTTCCTGACTTATATTCATGCCAATACAGTAACTCTCTAGGTTTTAAGTACCTGAATGTTTCTAAGACTGTGCACAGATGCTCTGGTTTGAGTGGGTGAGTGATGGTCATGTGAGGCAAAGAGAGAGACTGATAAGATGAATTTCAAAAGAGAAGTTCAGTACACAGAATAAGGAATGGCAGAAGAAAGGAGAAACAGAAGATGCAGGGGTGGAGGTGGTGAAGAGTGGGGAGAAAAGGAAGGAGATAGGAGGTGAAAAAAGAAAGGAACTGAAAATTATGCAAAGGTATATGCTATATTCTCCTCTAGGAAAAAAAAGAGAAAATTATGAAAGTGAAGCAGGGATATCAGAAGAGAGCCAGGAATCAGGGCTACATAAATAACATTTACTTAAAATGTTAGTTTAATTAACTGGTCTTAGTCAAATAATTCAGTCAATAACTATTTCTGTGGTAGTCAATAACTCATCAAATAGTTATAAAAATAACAGGGAGGTTGAATAAATATTTTCTACCTTTGTCTTGTTATTTGACCACTCCAACCAGAAACACTAGAAACATATAACCCTAGTACTTAAACCAAGTTCCAGTAAGTTATTACTTATCAATTGTTACACACTCCTTTTGTTTCCCATGAAACAAAAGTATATGGGAACAAAATAATATAATAACTTTACTTTCTCCTTCAAATCAGGAATGTGCTTTAATTACTGCAAAGTACTATAAATATAAAACCAGAATATCATGATGAGAGTTGTGTAAGTACAACACCACTGTTGGAACTTGCACCTTGCATCAGTCTTAGGCCTGCTCTGAATTCAGCTCATCCAGGGATGTAACTCTTGACTGTCCTCACTGGTGTGTCTTCAGAGTTTTTTTGCAAGTTTTTCCTCATCTGTGCAAGCCATAACACCAGTCCTGCTAAATTTTCAAGTGTTGCTACTACTGCAATTTCACCACTTCTGGTGAAGCCCCCAGGACTAGGTCTGCACAAGTGCTCTTCCAACAAACCAACATGGTAAGAGGGTGGCAACGAGAAACAGCTGGGAAAAGCATCTTCCCCTACCACAGATGGATCCAAAAATCATCTGCCTTACAATGAAATGGTTTATCAATGGCCCCTGTTCAGATCACTATTCTATACCCTCCTTTTCTCCCTCACCAGCTGCTGCTTGGCACTCACAGAACAGGTCCTGTGGCAAGCAAATAAACCTTGTCTGCCCTGTAAGTCAGGCCCCACAAAACCCCTGTTTGAACCCTTTCTCTGGTCTTTGCACTGCATCTCAAGAACAGTGCTCAAGGAGATCATTCTGCTGCCATGTTGGGGGTCTGCCCAAGTCTGGCAGAGGAGAACTCACAAACACCACGGGGCACAAGTGGTGGGAGGGCTTTTGCAGCAATCCTCTAGTCATGATCCAGCTCCCAGCTGCTACTTCCAAAGGTTTCAATTAAACAACATGTACAATGGCTATGATCCCTTCAAACATAGCAAATGACTTGTGTGGGAACAACCATAAAGGCATCCTTCTCTCTAGGAGTTTGAATTTTCACGCCTTTAGATGAGCTATTAGACAAAGTGCATGCTAGGTAAAGCAACAGAAGACTAGGATTCTATTAATAATTTTTTCTGTCTTCTCCCTTCCATCACAAAATTGAATGAAGCTGAGAATGCCTGAAAATCGGCTCTTCATCCCTACAGACATTGAAGCTGTTTGCAACTTTCAGAATTTACCATAACAGTAAGGAAACACAAATCCAGAACAAAGTTGACAGACTTCTCCAATATCTGATGTACATATAGTTTCCATTTCTGAAGGACAAACTATGTCTGTGGAGCTGCTCTTCCACCCCAAGCAACAGAAAACTCCTATTTCAAATCAGTTTTGGTTCCAGACCTCCTTAAAAGCACAGCTGATTGCCACAGAAGTCCAACTTCTGAACATGTTGTTATGCCTCAGTTCCAATAGCTTGCTACTCTCTTCTGCTCCCATGCATACCAAGGTACAGATAGAGGATCAATTCAATGTATTTTTAGTAGCATTGGCTGAAAAACAGTGCCAGCTTCTAATTTTATCTAAGGATTAATTCTGTGAAGGAGCGAAGAAGTCAGCAGCAACTCACCAGAGAAAACCTCAGCCATGTATTGTAATCACAGGCAAAAAGACACTTCAAGGACTTAGGTGGGATTTCAGCCGAATTTCCCAACTTCTAAAGGACAATAGCTAATCTCTTGCTGTGCTTTCATTTCTTTTCCTTTTACTTTTCCTAGTTTCCTTTCTCTTTCCTTTCCCCATCTTCAAGGATCACAAACACATCTATTGAGATTGCTCACAAAAACCACTGGCCTCTGACAGGCACACAGTACTGGTGGGATTTCCAGTATTTCCCTGGTGGGATTTTTTAGAAGTACATTGGTTGGGTACAACAGTATATTGGTGTTCTTCTTCCTCTACACTCTGCAGAATTTAATGGAAACAAATCAGTTAGGGAAAGTAACTCCTATTCCATAATCTCTGTTTAGATATTACTGTGTCAGAGAAGTTTGGATGTGGACACATCTCCAGTGCCTGCTCAGTCCATCATGGCCAGTAACAAATACAAAAATGCCCTCATTGTCACGTTGAGCTTGACAGGAGAATCAATACCACTTCTCTGAAAATCAGATTGCAGCAGAAATTGGAACATGGTTCCCTGCCCTGAGTTGTCTCAGCCTACAAAGCGTGCCTGTGACGTTTTTTCCAGGTAAATTGAAAAGGAAGCACAACTTTGGTTTTTCCAAGAAGCTCTACACAGGAAGGAAATTGGAATCTCTTCAGTGAAGTGAGTATGTACACATCATAGACAGCACAAACAGCAAAAATTTGTTTCCATTACTCTCAGTCCTGAAATAGCTGGAAAACCAATAAAGGAATTGCTCTACATTCTTAATAATTCCTTGTTATATATTAAAAATATTATCAATACATACAGCTTAGAAAACTCATCATTTTTTAATGCCTAGATACAAAAGATTTCAGTCTAAAGAAATGTGCATGTCTTTCAGCTGTTTTTTTTCCATGTGTACCCTGGAGTCTACCAAAGATATGACTACTGAAGGTTCTGCTGAATGACCAAGGAAACCTGTCATGAATTACACAATTTTAAGTACCGGGGGAAAAGAACCTTCAAAACAGGTATTAAAATACATTTTCAAAGAGAAAATAAAACCTTTTAAAGAGTAATTATTCTAGAAATTATGTACTTAAAAATACTGTCAGCAGAAATACTAAATGACAGACTATAGTTTCTCAAATAAATGAGACAGTGCTACTGTTATCAAAATACATACTTTTAAACTTCTTAGATAACTATCAAGGTAGAAAGTGCCCCCTCAGACACAGTTTATTTGTACTGAGGGCTACAGAAGCCAAATTCTAGTCATGCCTTATGCCCACCCCCAAATTTAACATGTAAACTCATTACAAAAACTTTACAGCCCAGAACTGTAGGTGTGAAGGGGGGTGGCTTGCATAATGACAAGGTGAAGTCACAGAAAGTTTCTCAAAACCCACGTAAAAATTTCCCTAATCCATATGAGAGTTGGAGACAGTACTGGGAATGGAATATGCAAACTGGGAAGCAGTTCTGATCAGTGCTCAAAAATATTACTGTTGAAGAGCTCTAGAACAGTAATCATAATGTGCCAAGATCCAACACTCTTCTGAAAGCAAGAAATCAACTGTGGTTGTATTTAATTTCAAAGGAAGGCGAATTATATATAATTATGATGCCTTTAAAAAGTGCAAAAATCCTTGAAGGCAGCATGAAAACTATTCAAAGACACTATCCCAGAGGCTCAGACCATATGCACAGCATTTACTAAGGACTTCAGAAAGACCAAAAAGAATCCAGACTGTCTAAACTACTGAGGTAACAGCCATAAGGAGGCTAGTAAAAGCAGGATAGTGTCCTTTGAAAAGCTAAATCATTCAAATAAAAAAAGCAGGAAAGATTTTATGCACTGGAAGGTTAGATACTAAAGTCCAAGAAGCCAAGCTAAAAAAGTGAAGAACTGGAAACAGCATAAATCTGAGAATAAAGCACTTTGTAGGGGAATTAGGAGCAGGTGGCTTGCCAGACACTCACTAAGGTTAACAGATGTTCCAGACATGCAAGATGCACCCAAAAATAAAGGCTGAAAAGAAGAAAAACAAGGTACATTTTTGTATCCACGTGTATTGTGAGGGAACTTGTGAAGACCTAATGTGTTAATTCTTCCTGACAGACAGCACATCAGATGTGTATCAAACCAACATGCCAGTAGATGATTCAACAGACATAGGCATTAACAAACCACTCAGATTAGCTGGCATCCATAGAACTCCTCAAAAATGAAAACTAGTGAACTTCTGGGGCGTTATCCTTAAAACTGCACTTGCATCAAAGGAACAGGGAGGTGGCCACTATTACATCGACATTTAAAGAGGTTTCCTGAGCAATCTGGTAACAACTGACTGCAAAAGTGACATCTGTACAGACAAGTGATGGAAACACTAACCAAGACAGTAGCTCTTGTGTTTAATGAGTCTTCAGAAAGAGTAATCAACAGCTTTTACAGGAACAAGGGAGATCCATTCGATCCCATCTCCAAGAAGCATCTAACAGTTACTCACCAAAGACTCTTAAGGAAGCCAAGCTGTCTGGAAAGATGAAGTCCTTGCATGCATAGAAAACTGGTAAGAAAAACAGAAAAGAACAAGACACCCAGATCCCACCTGGATCTGTACTGGGACCTATACACTGTTCAACAAACTGAAAACAATCTGTCACAGCAACTGAACAGCGAGGAAGTGGAATTTGCTAAAATTAAGCAATTTGGCAGCATGAGAATCAGGCCTGGTTGTGAAGAGCTGAGGAGAGACTTCCTATGCAGTGACAGTTCAAAAAAGGATGAACTTCGTGCACAAAAAGAGCAGCACAGTTCACATGGGAAAAACACCACCAACTTCATATGAATTTTACCAAGTGCTACCAAGAAGGCACTTCAACATTCAAAAATGGCAAAAAAAATCAGAGATTGGAAAGGAATAGAGAAGAGAGCAAAATGAAAATATGAGAAGTAATTGAATAAACTTTGAGAGTATGTAAAATATTGGTGAGGGAGGCATGACAGAAGAAGACAAAATTCACGTGTGGAACTGAGACTGTGAGGACGCAATACTGGTTATCTGCATGTTCTACATAAAGGTTTTGGAACCTCAACTAAAACCAGCAAAAGACAGGTTCAAACAGACACTTCTCAACCAGTTAAAATGACAGGACTATCACTTGTTTAGCTACTTGAAAAAAGTGTTCTACCACTTTCACACAAATTCTTTGCACAGCATGCTACTGACATACTCGGGACCAAAAAAAAAAAAACAAAAAACCCAACCCAAAAAAAACCTCTAAACCAAACCAAAATAACCCCCTGACTTCTGGAGAGAAGTGGTAAAGACAGCACTTACCCAAACATATGGTCCTGTTTTTTCACTCAACTGCTAATAGAAGGAGTAGACAGCTGAAGCAAAATTTCACATGGGTAGAAAAGAGGTAATTTATTTTAGAAGATAAAGCCAGACCATACAAAGGTCTCTTGCCAATGAGGTAGGGTATTTAAACACTGTTTACTACTGTGCCTCATTGATTATATGGATAATTTCAATCACTCACCTCAAGCTCCTCATTCACATGTCCCACACCAAGGGCAGATTACAGTAGGTTACAGGTATAACCTCCACCTTATGTAAAAGCAGACTGAACAAATTATCAGTAGGGAAGAAGGACTTTGCAGAAAGGGTAGGAAGAAAAAAAGGAAATTTAGCTCTCAGTAGTGGCTTTAAAGTTTTAAAAGGAAACAATGTGCCAAGCCATAGCAGTGGCAGTAAATGCTTTATGTGGATACATGTTCAATAGGAGACCTAAGACTGAGAAAAGCAACAAAACAGAGATAACTGATTTCAGTTTTAAACTGAGTGAAAATTTGCCTCAGTTTCAACAGCCCTTGGTTCTCTTTTTTCTAATCATTTAGTTATCAAAACGTTGTGTTGAACTTTAGCCTCTTAAGAAAGATACAAGTAAATTATTTACAAAAACTATTGCGCCCGAAGATGGTAGCTGGACTATGACAGTCTAACAAATCCTGAACAAGATTAAAACAACCAACTGGTAAGAAAAGTCGTAAAGAATTCCAAACAAGGACACTTCAGGAGAAAGAAGCACACCTGGAAAACAGATTCCCAAATGACGTTTTCTTCCATGTTTAAAGAAATTTTCAAGGAGTTAGATACAGCTTTTATTCAGAATTTTTTACACTACTGTTGAACACTCCTTTTGTCAAAATTTCACTATACAGTTGATTTAACTAGATGGTTTGTCTGCCATCTGTCCCCTCAGCAAATGTTAGGCATTCTGTTCCAAACCAACCAGACCATCTGCATTAATAGGTTGCCAGAATGGCTGTATACATATACTTCACATGCTCTGAGTTGGTGATTTTTCTTTATTTGGCAACAAGCAAAGCCAAATATTTCCAGTGCAATCCAAGAAAAGATCACAAAATTGTTGGGATGGAACAGCCTTGCTGACCTCACCAAACCAATACAATTTGAAAATCATAAATACAAAGAAATAGAGAGACCTTCTATGTGTGTCCATAGGTAATTATTTCTTAACGCTATGTCCCTGAAAACCCCCAGCACACTGTAGAACCTCCATCCTTGGGAGAATTTTACAAACAGGTGCGTACACTGAGATGTTCAATGTGCTGCCCTGTGTCCAGCCACAAGCAAGAACCGGTCGTCACAGGTGGCCGCCACCTCTGGCTCGGCCTCGTCTCCTTTATCCCCGTGGCAGGTGTGGAAGCTCGTCTGCCTTGGCCGGCTGCAGCCCAGGGCTGGCAGCGCTGCCTCTGCACACAGGGGAAGGGCCAGGGGAGCACCTGCGCTGCTGACCCGCACCCTGAGCCAGACTGAGCATCCCAGGGAAAGCAGCATCTAACCAAGCTGTGAACCATCCTACGGCTGCCTTTCGTTTGAGCACCGCCAACAGTGACCCAGCTAACCTGTTAGGTCACCCCTACAGGTACAAACACAGGACAGCACAGTGCTGACACCAACGTTTTCATAGGCTATGGAGACCCCGTTCAGCAGCACGGACCAATATTTTAAAACGAATCCAGTGCTGGACACTGCTGGCATCTTCACGGGAGCCAGAGCGTGGGGACAAACTTGGGCGGCTCCGGGCGCGCCCTGGCACAGCGGGGGCAGCGGAGCGGCCGCAGCCGTCCGGTGTCCCCCCATGTTCCCCGCTCTCCGCTATGGGCTCGCCGGCAGACGGCCCAAGCCCCGGCGCTCCACGCCTCCCTCTCCCCGGCGGCAGCTCCTCCCGCCGCCGCCGCCGCCGCCGGGGAAGCCCGGGGCCTCCCTCCGCACGCCCCTCCCGCCCGCGGGAAAGAGCCCGCAGGCGATGGCGCGGCTCGGCCGGCGCTCCCCGTACCTGGGCGGAAGGCGGTCAGAGTCCTGCCGCGGGCTCTCACGAACGCGTCCGCCGCCGCCATCGCCCCGGCCCGCGCGGCCGCTGCCACCGCCGGGCCCGGCCGCCGAGGGGGCGGCACCGCCTCCGCCGGGGGCGGCGCCTGGCGCGGGCTGGGACCCCGGGAGGCCCCGGGAGGCCCCGGGAGGCCCCGCGGGCCCGGCGCTGCGGCCGCGCTGCAGGCTCCGGGGGCTGTGTGGGGGCGGCGCCGGGCAGCGCTGGTCGGGCGGCTCCGGGGCGAGCCCTGGGATAGCTCTGGGAGCGGCGGCTGCCGGCACCGCCATGTGCGGGGGGCGGCTTCGGGTGGAAGCTGCCCCGAAGACGCGCTGGCTTTTAAATGAATTATAATAAAGTAATAGATGACATCATTTTCAGCTTGTTCCTAACCTGCGAACTGAAGTAACCCTGTGTCTAAAAGCATTGGCAGCCTTCCTTTGTTCCTTCATGGTTTGTTTGTTCTTCTCGTCAGGTTTCCTCAGTGTTTAAACGTACTCCCGAATTTAGGTATCACCAGCAACTATTCTCTGAAAAAGAAAAGTTATGCAAAAAAGTGAAGGGCCAGTGTCTCCCTGCTGTCAGTGGCCCCAGCTCGGCCTGCCCTGCCCATGGCTGTGGGCACTGTGGCGGGCACGGACCAGGCCCCTGCAGTTCTTGTTTCTGTCAGAACCAAGCTACACAGTGAGGTAGTGACTGGAATAATATGGGTGATCCTTACAAGGCAATGCTTTCTTCATCTCTTCTGACCTAGAATCCCTTTTTGACCCAGCCATAAAGAGCAACAATACGGTTGCAGTTTCCCAGATGAACAGCTGGGACCCCATTATTCTGTGTGGTGCAACATGCAGAGTTCTGAGTGCCTCTGTTCATTGCTGCTAAGGTTAATGTTGTCAACTAAAATGCGTTCCTATGGCTAGATGGCTTTTCCATCTGTAAAATGTGGGTATTATTATCGACAAGTAAAAACAGCTTCTTCAGTCCTACTTGTAAACTGCTTGATGATCATTAGATGGAAAGCGCTAGGGGAAGTCTTTTTTATTAAGTAGTTTTTGTCAATTCCCCTCTTTATGAGGCAGCATGTGGTATATTAAGCAAATAAAAACGAATGTGCATTTTTAATTCTCAAGTGCAGCCTATCTAAATATCCCAACACCATCACAGGAAGAGGTGATCACGGTCTCATGGTAGAACTGCTCATGCTAATATAAGAGCAGGTGGCTCAGTCATGCAAAGAAATTTTCTACCTTTTCTGTTTCTTTTCTGTTTTCTTCTCATCTGCTTAATAGGGCTGAGCAGCTATAAACCAGAATATGAGACTGCTGCGTGACTTCAGCTAAACTCAAGATTAATTTTGCAAGTGAAATAACATCAAGATCAGGCCAAAAACTGTAGGTTGTTTTGGCAGGGCAGCATAGTGTGGTTCTGGAGCACAAGGATATGAGATTGTGATCAGCACCTGAATTACCTTTGTCTTACTTAACCTGGATGTGTTGCTAAAGGCAACCATGGTTCTTGTCAAGTTACACATATCTGAAAGATTGAATCACACCTGACAGAGGTGGGGATTGTAAGATCTTCTAGATTTATCTAACTCTGTAATTTCACAGCTCTTTTTTTCCTAGGCAAGTATAGGGTGCTCTCCTCTACAAAATTCTGTTGTCAGTACTGTATTTGATGTCTTTGCAGGATGGGTCGTGGATGAGTCTCAGGATGCTCAGCTCTCTCTAGGTGATGATGATGGTGAGTGTGCAGCCTGCCGATGTTGCCTCCTCTTCAAATGGAATCCTTTGATATTAGATCACCTTGAGCATTATGTACAGTAATGAGGAGGCCACGAGAAATTTTAATTTTGTAATTTAAACGCATTTTCTTTTTTACAGCCTGAGTGCAGAAGTGTTTTCAACTGCAGAAATAAAGGGACGCTTGCTTATAAACATGAGAACTGATAGGGAGCATGCAGGAGGGGGATTTCAGCTCTCTCCTGCTTTCTTTACTCTGCCAAATTTGAAGTATGCATTTTTGAAGCCAAGCAAGCTCATGGACCAAATGCTATACAGCTAAACTCATTTTACTATGACTAAGTCATTTAAAGTTACTACTGATGTATGATGGTTTAATTATAGATTTTCATGGACTCATTCCAGATGGGGCCTAGATAAAGCATCAGAATTTTGTCATAGGACTTGATTTGTTATGCAAAATGTCATGAATATAATGGCACTGAATAAATAATTTGCAGTAGCACGTGTCTCCTCTTATTTATAGAGTATAAATTGAGAGTTTTACTAATTTTATAAAGTTAGTGTGGACATACAGAGGGAAATGTACCATTCTGGGAGGGCATGCAGTACATTGAAAGAGATTAGAAGTGGGAAATGTAGCATTGAAAGTAAAATTCTTACATAAGATTTATCTTAGTAAGGACTGTGAATAGAATAGTGCAGATCTGTGGAGTCCAGATCTTGTAAGAATTACTCGAGTATGCTTTAGATCATGCTTCCAACACTTACAGTTCTTGGAAGTTCTGAAAAATCCAGTAACAGACATGCTACCTTACTTTTTACTGCAGTTTAAAGTAAGACTGTATGCACCTTGAGAGACCTAGATAAAGTACTAATAAAACAAGTAAATTATTCTAAAATTTACTATCTCTATTGAGAAATTCAAATAAATAGCAAAATAGTCAAGGCAGTGGTTAAAGAAGGGGAATCTTTTTTCTAATCTCAGCAAATGACAAGATGACAAAGAACAAAACTGGAAGAGTAAAAAAGGTGAAAAGGACATAACAAGGTTGGTCTAGACATTGGAATTAAAATTACAAAGCACAGACAAATATGCAGATTTGAAACTAAACCATTTAAATCTTATATATAGAATAGAATGACTATGTGCCATCTGGAATTCAGGGAATCCAATGAAAGTTGGAGGTGTAAACAACACATACAGCAGTATCAACATCTGTTTTCAGTGCCTGCTGATATATAGGAGTCCTTGAGGGAGAAGTTGGAGAAAATAATGGAAATTGATAAAACCTGATGATATAAAAAGGATCATGCGAAATTGTATTTTTTTCGAAAGAATATGGATTTACTCATGCTAAAAAATAAATAGTGCATACAATGTATTGTCTGGTTTTTTAAGAATCTCTTCTTCCTGTAAGTCCTTGAACAGGACAGCATTATAGCAGATGCAACATTTTGGAAGGTTTGGCATGGATACAGCTCCTCTCCTTCCCCAAGAAGAGCTAATGGATAAAAATCAGTAAATTCTGAAAACTTCCAGTAGTATCTCTGATGAGTAAACTCCTGTGTCCTGCTCCATTGCTGAGACTCCAGGATGGCTATGCCATTACAAGTAAATTTAGCAATCTGTGCCTAAAACATTACAGAATATGATAAAACATAAGGTCTGATGTTCAATACAAACAAAAATGAATTACTACATTAAAAATTACTTACTGCACTGAAGACTGCTAGCAATATTTTAGAAAAAGGCTCTGTTAATATTTGGCCTTGATACCAAATGGCCTTCCATTTTCAAAGGCCCCACAAAATAATATCAAAAATATTAAAAATGTTTTGCACAAACCAGCTTAAAAGGATTGGTTGACCAGGACCAACATTTTGTTGCTAGGAAGGGAACAATGATGACTTTGATTATTTCCACAGCTAAAAAATCCACAATGTAATTGATTTTTATCTGACTCATTTAGTGTGGGCAGGCTCCATTTGTTCAAGAAGCCTGTAATATATTCCTTGAATCACTGTAACTATGAGAGATATAAAAGTTGACGTAACAAGTTAAACACACTATTTAACTCAATTTGTTTTGCCCACTGAATTCCAATTTCTGACACAGATACAGGTTCTATCTAGAGTACTGCTCATTTTTTAAGATGTCTTGTTAATTTTCTTTGCTCCCAAATACTCAAGAGTTCTTCTTTATCAGGGTGCCTCTGATTTTAGAATTCCCTGTCCTTTCATTTTCATTCATTTCATGTGATTTCATTTTCAGGTACACTGAGAACTTGTACCTTTCATTGAGTGATTGAGATCTGGGCTACCAGCAAATTTGAAAGTCCTGACTAGTAAAGACTCCAGTGAATGAGAGAGCCAGACTAGGAGGAATTATTTGATCTGGTGCATATCTTTGACACATTCAGTATCTACTCCTGAAAAGTCATGGATATTTGAGTCATTACATGCTAGACATATAAAAATTGTATAGGAGTCCAGCAGAGCTAGAGCTGAGTGAAAAAAAAATGAAGGTTCTAATTGAAGTACCCATTTCCAAAATTATGTGGAGTATCTGTGATTGACTGGCACCTCATCCTGAACCATCTAAGAACTTTCTGACTTAACTGTTCTCTAGAATTTTTGCTGTCAGAATTGGGCAGCATTTGCCCACTATCTAAAGTTTATGATTCCTGCTGCTCATCAAAACCTGTCCAGTCACAAATGGGAGGGAATTAGGAATATAAATAGATTTGAAGAAACTATTTTTTATATATATCCATATACATATCTGTGTGGTTTTAGACTACTACAGGTTTCAGGTATATACTATTTGACTTGGTCTAAGAAGAAAATCTAGGTTTAAAACCTTTTATATCACAACTTTGTCTCAAATTTGGACTTGTTGGAATTTTCTTACTTTAAACAAATATATTTTCCATTAATGTACAAGCAAAACCAGAAAACTGGAAAAAAATGAGTATTTAGTTTATGTATCTGTATACATGACTCTTGAGAGTCCTTTCTCTTTCTTTGCTAATAGATGACATTTTACAGAAAAGAAAGAAAACCCCTTGTTATCATTAACCACAGTTTCTATTTCTGCCAAAAAAAAAAAAAAAAAAAGAAAATCAAAGAAGCAGCAATCTTTCAAGTATTAAAATTCAATAAACAATCAGAGCACTTTTATATTTTTCTACTAGGCATACATCAAGGGCATTGGTCTTTTCCTATTACACTGGTTAATCCAAAATGTGTTGCAAATGTACTGGATGGATCTCTTTGTTTCCTCACT